ACACAAGTGTGTTATGTTAAAATATATCAATTGAACAAAAGTGTGTTTTATGTTAAAATATATCAATTGAACAAAAGTGTGTTTTATGTTAAAATATATCAATTGAACAAAAGTGTGTTTTATGTTTTAATATATCAATAGCGGGTATAAGTGCAATCCTTGTTGTCCGTACCAATTCAATTGCGCTCACGGCGCATTCGTATTCGTATAGTTGTCAACTGAGAAATAAGCGTACAATGATTGTTGTTTTGGTCATACGTGACTGTGTTATCTGCACCTGTGTGCTATAATCGTGGACTGATTGTGTCCTCTGCACCTGTGTGCTATAATCGTGGACTGATTGTGTCCTCTGCACCTGTGTGCTATAATTGTGGACTGATTGTGTCCCCTGCACCTGTGTGCTATGATGTTGCCTGTATCCGTGGGGTTCCTCGTCTCTGAGATATGTCATTGTCACACGGCTCTGTGTTGTCATTTCACGTGTACTGTTTTTGTTCACTCAAGTCTTAAATATTTTCGGGTGTTTGCCATGATTATCTTTCTACTTTCCATATCCACGGCCATGACTATCGACCATGTGTATCCTAACAATATCGGGAACGTACACTTGTAGGGACAAGTACGACAGAAGAAAAACAGTAATCACCCCAATGCTTTCATTAATCACTTGACTATCAAACCAAACAATACAACTAAACGATTTGCAGAATCATTATTCATAATTACTACGAAGTGATTCTATTATCCAACCCTCTATTGCCTGCTCTCTTACCCGAACAACTAGACAAACAGGTACTCGACGACGTGTACACACTTAGGTCACGAGAATGATGCGGTACTTCGCCAAACGCGCGGCTCCAGGGTCCCAAAACGGACACCCAGGTGCAGTGAAAAGGGTCAAAGTTTGGGGCACTCGAGACCCCGAACATATTGTATGCTTCAATTGCAATGGTCTGCTTGCCAGATTGCAGAACCAATCGCAGCGGAAGGAACTGCTGACCTTCCTGATCGAGAACACACCGGATGTGTTCTGTCTCAGTGAGGTAATAGTCTGATGCAGTACACATCCGTTATGCGTAGAATACACCAGATACGTTGTGTCTGTGTAAAGTTGGTTCTGGTTGGCAACAAGTTTTTATGTGTTGAAACACTATAGAATAACAAGGTCTATGTGTAGATACTCTCACGAATAGCGAGGCATGTTTGTGGATACACTGCAGGATAGCGGGGTAAGCTCTATGAAGTGCGTATTAGCTTTGAGTTTAAAGATAGCGTCCTTATAATTGCCAACACCAATTAGCGCCCATTTGTGTACGAATCATTTGTGGTGGTTCGGGTACGCGTACCTGACCTCGTTTGTCCTGACTGTTTATTCACTGTTAACTTGACATTCATGGACTATCAAGACTGACTGTTTATTCACTGTTAACTTGACATGCACGACTACAATAGAACATGAATACTCCCCAGTAGCTATAACTAAAACCGCGCATACTTTTATCAAATGTGCTTGCGTGCTTTGTGTGTGCGTTTGGGGGATTTAGAACCGTAACCTGTGATTGCTGGATATTTTCAAGAAGCTTGCGAGTATGTGACTGTGTGTTTGCTAAACTGATTCGGCTAGCTCCAAGAATGATTTCGACAGTCTTCACACCCACACACTTCTGTGAGCATGAAAACGTCATAGACGACGGTTGACCTTCGTGAAGTAGTTTAACGAGACTCGCTTAATATGCCCATCGGAGATTTTCTTTTACATATACTGGCCAACGATTGCATTACACA